AAGATAATTTTATAATGAAGGATTTTCAGTAGCCTCCCTTAGATCAACAGGACCAGAGGCAAAGGTAGGTTTCTAATAAAAGAATGCTTTCAAAAACTTATATGCTTCTGCAATCTGTACAATCAGAAAAATGAGAAATTATACCCCAATGATTCAAATAAATAAATAAATGAATAAATAAAACTTATATACAGGCACAAGAAGGAAATGGAACATAATGGACAGTAAGAAGGCAAATGCCAGATGGCATAGGAAATAATTACTGGTAAAGCATTCAGAATTTCACTGGGATGTAGTCCCCATTATGGTGCTGGGATGAGAAGGATAGAGTAAAAACAGATCTTGCAATGGTATAATTTTTCTAAACTCACATTTGGGAAATAATATTTAAGAGTGGGGAAATCACTTACATTATGCCATATGTGAGGTTCCCCCACTCAAGAAAATGAGAGCATTCAGTATTAAGTTTAGGGACCTGATATTGGAAATGTATTGTCTACCATTCAAATTTACAATTATTCCAACAAAGTTGTAAATGCCAATGTGAGCTCATTTCTAAAAAAAAAAAAAAAAACCCCGCTTCCCAGCTAATGGGTATGTTAATGAACATCTGTAAGCCCAGTAATTCAGGAGACTGATCAGGAATAATGAGAGTTCAAGATCAATCTCAGCAACTTAGTGAGACCTGTCCCAAAATAAAAAACTAAAAAGGACAGGGGATGTAGCTCAGTAGTAAAGTGCTCCTTGGGTCAATCCCCAGTACCAAATGAAAGAAAAAAAGAAGGAAGGAAAAAAAGAAGATAGACAGTCCCGGTTCCCAGAGGAATCAACACTGTAGATTTGTGAGTTTCCTTTTTATAATGTACAGGATATTAGCAAAATGTCAAACATTCTGTATACATTTCCTATTTAGGAAAAGAAGCAGTAAGTAAGCATTTCCTATAAAGGAAAACAAACTGTTTTTATGAAGAAGGAAATATGCCTGGTTGATGATTCAGAAATTCATATAGGAAGAAAATATTCAAATTATTCTACCCAAGAAAGAAATCCAAATCTTCTCCATGATAAATGTTACCATTGCTCCCATGACTCATGATTGATTATGGCTTAGAGTCCCTATACCATGTTGATTATAGCTTAGAGTCCCTATACAATTTTACCCATGGTGATCAACATGGGTAAAATCATCAGGATTTATTGGCTAATTGTATTTGAAAAGAATGCAGGATTACCACATATGGTTGAACATGTATTGTTGCCATTCACTGCATGGATGGAAATGAAGTGTTTACAGGTAGTGATTTAAACAAATTTGTACAGTAGAGCTCAGAGGGTGTTCAAAGGTCATGAAGGAGATGGAGAATTTGACCTTTGGCATTTGTTTTGATGTAAAGTTATTAACTAAATGGGAATAAAGGAAGAAGGGCAGATTTGAGAAAGAAGATCGTTGGGTACAGCTTGCAAAAGATATTTGAAAATATGGACCTAGCACTTGAGAAAGGGACTTGAGCTAGAGATAAAATTGGAAGATATCATATGTAGGTGGCACTTGATTCCATGGGAATTGTTGAGAGCATATGTAGCATAAGAAGAGAATAGAATTGTCAAATAATATTAGGGAATACTACCATGGAAGCATCCAGGAGAGAAAGAACTAATTATAGCAGATATATTGCAAAAACTAAAGGGGGAGAGAGTATTAAAAGAGTCAACCATGTCAAATGCTTCAGAGAAAACAAAACCAAGAACTGTGAATTTACCATATGAATGTCTTTGGTGATGCAGACAAAATCACTTTCAGTGGAGTAGTAGGAACACAAGCCAGGCTTCAGAGGATAGAGGAGGGAAGGAGAGGAGCGGAAGAAGAGGCAGCAAGGATAGAATTCCTAAGAGAAAGGGAGACATGGTGAGTACACAGGGTTCAGGAAGGCTTTGAAGGTTTTTTGTTTAATAAGACACATGGAAATATTTGTTATGTAAAAGAAAGGAGCTAGCAGAGAGAGATTGATTAAAGAAATAGGAAATTGTATTCTTTATGGGGCATAGCTCCAGAGTAGATGGGAGAGTGATGCAATTAAGAGTATAAGTAATGGGCTGGGGTTGTGGCTCAGTGGTAGAACATGTGTGAGGCACTGGGTTTGATCCTCAGCACCACCTAAAAATAAATAAATAAAATAAAGGTTCCATCAACAACTAAAAAAAAAAAAACATTAAAAAAAGAGTGTAAGTAAAAGGATTAGAATGACCTTTGAGAAGAAGGGTTCCTCTTGTGGTAGAAGGCAAAGATGATGACAGATGCAGATGTAGATGTTTTTTCTGAGTCTGCTGGCGATGCCCAAGGAAGTTGAAGGGTTTCCTGCCACACAACTTGCATTTTCCCACTGATGTACAACAAGAGGTCATCTGTGAAAATCAGAGGCATAGGGATAGCATTTGGTGAAGAATAGCTATTTTGGGAAAGGAACAAGGAAAAGGGTCTAATAACCAGGCATGGAGAAACTATGGCCATGGACCAAATCCAGGCCACTACCTATTTTTGTAAATAAAGTTGTATTAGAGGAATACAGTCATAATTATTCATTTACCTACTGTATTTGGCTGCTTTTATGCTACATTAGCAAAGTTAGATAGTTGTGACAAGACCTTATGGACCACAGAGCCTAAATTATTTACCAAATAACTTGACCCTTTATCAAAAAATGTTTGTTGACTCCTAAACTCTTTTTTTGGTGGGGGGAGAGGTACCTGGGATTGAACTCAGGGGCACTCGACCACTGAGCCACATTCTCAGCTCTATTTTGTATTTTATTTAGAGACAAGGTCTCACTGAGTTGCTTAGTGCCTCATCTTTGTTGAGGCTGGCTTTGAACTTGAGATCATTCTGTCTCAGCCTCCAGAGCTGCTGGGATTACAGGCATGTGCCATCACACCTGGTGGACTTCTAAACTCTTATTAATAAGACAGTGTGTTCTCAGCCTTACTTAT